TATTGATAGGCGATGATCGTGATATTCTGAGCCATGGAAGTGAGAGGGTCTCTGCGGACGCCCTAACAGCCGACGATCTACGTAATATCAGAGACCGCTGTGAACCAAGCAGGTCGAGGGCGACAATGGCTGGCTGACTTACCAAATTCATCAAGCCCCCGGTCATCCTCGACCTCCTGTTCATGATCGAGTTGGTTCATCAATATTCCATTTCTATTCGTGCCACCGAGAGTAGTGAACTGGAAGGATTGGTAGTCATGGTCCGAGAGAAGGCCATTGGTATGACCGATGATATTCTGGATGTATCTGTCACGACCAGGCCCGCCCGAAAAGCCATGGAAATGGCCGCCGCTACCTTCACCCGACCCTGAATCGTCGTTATCCATAGTGTTGATTGGAGGGACGAGTTGTGGAGCGGACGTGGAACGACTTCAGTAACAGAGAGCGGTAATTGAGGATAGGTATAACACTACAAGGATTACTAGTAATACAATACGAGGTGTCAATACTGACATTGGGGACATCGGACGTTTTGCGACACCATGAGAGGGCTGATTGACCGAAATGACACGAAGATGTTGTAGACGAATAGGAAAGAAAGTGACAACGATTTAATCAATCGATGATGTCGAAGTCAAGATATAGAGTTTAGGCACACCACCACCTGAAAGTCGCAGCTTCTCAATAATCAGCATAGATTAGAAGTTAAGAAGGCTCGTCCGGATATGCTACTATCCTCACTGATTCGCACGAAGAGTTGAGGCAGGAGCGACGACGCCACGTGATCGAGCCCCTTAATGAGGGAATACTTGGATGCCAGCTGCCCAAGCTGGATAGGGGTTAGAACCTTGAAGAGCACAAAGCTAATTAGTAACCGACGAGGCCAGTACAGATAAAAGGGTGAATCTTTATACAATATGCACGCATCGTATTCTCGTCTCTTATTGATTCTCTATTCTTCGATTTGTATAAGTATTCGTAACCTGAGTAACTCGCGATCTCGCAATCTCCCATGCTCGTCATCGGTCTTTTCCAACTGCAATCGGCTTGCGCACTCATCAAGATGGCTCGATATCCTGCTTGTAATCATGCTCGCCGAGTCTTTGTGTACGGAAGGGAGCCTGTCTAGCATCGGCTCGGCGCTTCATGCGGCTTGATTCTCCTCTTCATTAGAGATCGCCACTCGTACCGAATCGTTCTCATCTGAACCATTATTTTCTAGTCTCACTCGTCCCGATTCTTACCTCGCGACGATGGTACGCGGTTGTGGTGCCGCAACGGCGAGGACGGACGCGAGGTTGAGAGACCCATCGCCTTGATGTTCTCCAACGGATCGGGCACGCTGAGCTTATCATCCGTGTACCGAGGCGTCATCATCGGGTCGATTGTCGTCTTCTCGTAGTTGACAATGTTGATCGGTGGCGGCCGGCCGCGCTTCCGATCAGGGCCAGTGTAGAGGAATGTCGAGACAAGCACCAGAGCGGTACCGATGAGGAACTGGATATTGTTAGTACACTACTACGTGCAGAGATAGTAAATAAGATTGCCGTAGGCGGTATGTTGCTTACCGTTAACGTCACATGGATCCTGAAGAACCACACGCTGAACAGAAAGCCGATGACGATGCTAATACTAGTCGCAAAGTTCTTGGCAATATTATCCGCGTAATTAATGCAAAGCGAGGCAAGCACGCCACCAAACGCCTGCAGAATAATCAACGCCCAGACAATCCAGTTGTAGCCGTCGAATACTCCGTGCTTCGCGATCTCCTCGCCGTCCTTAAACACGATGACCGCGAGAGCGGGGAATAGGGAGTAGAACGACAGCTGGATGTTGCGAGTCCAGACGGACGCGGGGCTTTCAGTGTCCTTGAGGACCTTCTCGAAATAAACGCCCGTCAGGCCGGAGAGCACCGCAACGGCGATTACGGCCGATAAGCCAATGGAGTAGCTCATCACGGGCGCGGTGTTCTGGTCCTCCTCAATGCCTTCGTAGGTCGCCGAGCGCTTCGCAAGAGCTTGGCCGACTTCGACCATGGCCTCCATGCCGCGCTTCGTGAGTTCCCTAGCAACATCGCCCATGTTATTCGCCACCTGGCCCAGCTCGTGCACCGAACGAGGGAAGAAGTGGTCCGTCATGTCGTGGATAAGGAACGAGCTGTCTTTCGAGTTTGAGGACGGAATCGACACGATCGACACGCCAAAGGTCAGGATGACGAGGGAGATCCAACGCTTCACTGTCAGAGATCGACCAAGCATCGTCACAGTGAAAACAGCGGTCGTAAGGATCCGGAGCTGGTACAGAATCTGGAAGTGTACCGGATCTAGGTTTCCTACTGCGACATACTGCAAGATGTTCTGTAAGGTATATAGCGTCGCCGCGATAGCTACCTTCCACCCATCGCCCGAGAAGACGGAGTTGGAGATTTGTTCGAATATGACGGTCGCTGGGGTCGACGGCGCTAGGTTTCTCGAAACTTCGTATATGGCGAAAGTCAGGGAGATCGCTAGCTTGATCACCTCAGTCAAGAAGACGGCTGTCGAAGTGAAGTAACGGTGGTCGCCGCTCGGAGGCATCATTCGAGAGTAGTGCATAAGGAGAATCAAAACTGAGTTTTGGAATGTCAACTGGAAATAGCATCGTGTTAGCCATGTTGCGCTCCCCTCCAAGAAAGCTCTCCTATCGCACGAACACATACCGTAATAAGAGAAAGTTGCTTCATGGGAACGCCGAAGAGGGTCGGCCCTCCCACGGGTTGTGGGGTACCATCCAGGAGAGCCATGATGGTTGGGAAGTTGACTCTACAGCTTGGCCGAGCTAGCGAGGATTTTATTTGCGATTTTGTTGTATTTTTTTCAGTCTGTCCTGAAACTCTCCTGAGCGGTTGAAGTTGTCGGCCAAATACTCTTGAATTTAGCCAATTGATACCGCCCAGAAAGATTTCTTTATGCGAACTGTCTTGTTTGCTTTCAGAATCGCACTGTTGCGACGGTGTTGGTAAATTGGGCTGGCTTGTTGGTACTTGAATAGTAGTAAAAACTTGGATTGGAAAATGGCGGAGGTGCGTCGCGTCTTGCTAAATAATTAAATTAAAAAGAAATGCAAGGCCTTTTCGAGGTATTACCGATTTAGGTGGACGCGCTTCATTCACCCACGTCAATGATCCAACTCACTCCCAAAATGGAACCAGGCCTATTAAGCTCTTTTTACCCCTGGATGTGACGCTATGTACCATACTACTCTGTAGCATGTAAACAGTCTGTGACACTCGGCTTCGATGGCCGCTAAGTCAACCTAAATGCGTCGTACCTGAGATAGTCAACTTAGAAGGGGGATACGATATGGGTTGAGTCCGAAAAGTGAAAAGGAGAAAAAAAAAAAGTTTTAATGTCTCGCTCAGCAGAGGGCTGCAGAGCTATTGTACATACATGTGTGTGCTGTCGTGGTACGATACAAGTACCTGTAGGCGTACATATTAGGGCTGGCCCATATCATAGGTTCGATGATATCAAAGGCGCTCAAAATTTCCCTAATGCGTAGGGATCATCGAGGCTCCAGTTACGCTGTGCCTGGAAATTGCAGGGTATGTACCACCGAGAATCTGGAAATTATATTGAGAACTCGCTAGGAATCGGTAGCGAGTGTGGGATGATAGCGAGCACAGGATCCAGATCCTGACTTGGCGGTCTGTATTAAATGTTGATATTGTAGAACACCGATGTGGGATATAGCAAACATTAATGACGACACTGAAATAGCTATCGTATCTTTAGCGTCTTGCTTTCTTCAAGTTTGATTTGAAGGTTTAGATCGGCCCAAGTCGCCCAAGTCAGTGATCATTTGAGTTCCCCGAACTCCGTACCGCATATGTAGTTCGATATTTTCTTTTGTGGAAAATACGTACGGAGTAAAGCGGCTTCAATGGCACGCATGTGCCATTTTCCTTGTCCGTCAGTAAACTAGCGCCTTGACCCCTTTTGGGTTCCGTGATCATCGCGGAGCGATCTCAAGGCCGTGGGGAAGTATCCGAAAAGAGCTAAGAACATTGAACTCCCGACTTTCTCCAGTCACCTCGAACAAGGCATGTTTCGAATTGTTTTACTTCTTTCCAACCTGGAGATTATACCTTAAATTCGCGATATATTGGTTTGAGTACGGTCGGTCGTCTATTCGACTTCTGATACCCGAGACTATCAGTATTTGCTTCCACAGAAACGTCGCGCAAACACACGTCGAGTCAGACTTATCATCTATGCGCTCATTCCGTCTCTCTGTGTACCATTGGTGTCTAATTAGTTGTGACCGCGTGACGTCGACGCATGGTTCTACCATCACCAAATTCAGTTGAACAGTTCAGCTCCTTACAATAGCTCTTGAATTAGCTCTAAGAGGTTGGAGTCTTCCAACTACCGTCGAGACTAGCGAGTCCCCGTGAGCATCACGACAACGCCAAAGGATAGAATGCGGGGTGAAGTCGAGGAAGATTGTCACACGGACATCATCCCGTTTCTTGCTCCATGTGTATAGCCAGAATCCAGATATGCAGAATAAGTGGTAGGAATAGCTAGCCTGCGGTATCCTACTGCAAGTCATCTTGCTAAGCTACCGCTTGGCAGCAGAGAACCGAGCCATTATGCCTTGATTTGCGGAGAGCATCTGCGTTGGATCGCGGAACGTGGGGCTACATCCTTTAGGCGGTCCACATGTTGAAGTGCATGCCAATGGATATCTTCAACGTGGTCAGCGCATGCGATGACAATTGTTCATCGTTAACGAGCGATCTCGATGTCCTCGTAACTAGCGTCATTAGAATCAATGTGAACGGATTTCAAGTTCCTGCGCTTTCGGCACCACGACCAGCAGCATACCTACGGAGGTTAAAAAAGGTACACATAGGGAAGTCCACCTATTTCTGTCACAAAAATAAATATCGAGGGTAATGACATTATTGAATATAAAAGGAAGTAATACCCATGAGCTAAAAAGAAAAAAAAAAGTGTTGCCAGCTGCAGGGTTCGAACCTGCGCATCTCTCGATAATGGTGTTCAAGATTTGAATGACTTAAAACCACCGCCTTAGACCACTAAACTGGGATTAGTGTGGGTTGAAATTTAGCGGATGATTTCAAAAACGTACCTCGGCCAAACTGGCTTAAGGAGCTATTCCTTGAAGATTTGTGTTAGCTTATTGGGCCCTATGACCCCTCCGTGCCCAACCAATAGGCTTACAGAGCAAGCATCATACTATCTATGTTCATCCCAAGATAGCGAAGAGTTCTAAGAGATAGGTTGGAAGAGCTATTGATTGAATTTTATCTATTATTCGACCCGAGAGTGCTTGGCTTTTCAGCATGCTTCGCAATAACAACGGAGCGTTTATCGTATACAATCCTCCCGACGCTCGCAGTCCTTAGTATTATACCCAACTGCCCCCCGGTAGTACACACAAGCAAGAAAGCAGAACAGGTAAACAAGATTTTCTGCCTTATTTTGTAAGATACCTCAACCATATCCAGTAGCTTAGTACTAGGGAATAAATAGGTTAAATATACATTAACCGCCCCGCCTCCCTCCCCCCGGTGCCATACATTGCGCATTCCAAATCTTACATGATAAAGGAGATAGGATAGATAGATCGATCGATAGATAAAACAGATGTATTAGTCGTACGCAGTGATGCTGAACTTCCGGTGTATAGGCATGTATGTATGAATCCCGCTTCCCACCGAACCAACCCCGGCATCCCTCGGAGTTGTAAAAATCAAGCGCTAAATAACCAACAAAGCACCACGTATGAGTGCATTCAGAGACATAGGGAATTTGCAGCATATATTGCTACTAGGCGGTTGGGAAGAGATAGACGCGAGATTATGAATATTGTCGCTGAAGGACGGTCCCCCTTCGCGGAAGAAACGCAGCTCATCAGGGAGCCAGAATATAGCCGTTGACGTTAGCGAAGCTGCTAGGTTAGTGCGACCAAGCCACCTCCGAAGAGCCGTAAGACCGAGAGACGATGCCGCCGCTCAATCATCGTCCCCCCACCAAGGCACCGGCGAACTAATCTGTCCGACAGCACTCAGCCTCACAGCGCTCTTCTTGCCCTTCTTATGCCCAAAGACAGACGGCGTCAACATCCCATCGCCCTTGGCCACCGGGCTATCCGGGCGCGCGACATCCATCTCCGGCACCGATCTCAGCGGGCCCTTTCGCCGGCGGTCTGCCACAGCGTCGAAATCGTCGAAGTCCACGTCGTCCGCGTCGATATCCTCGTTAACCTCAGAAACCCCACGATCGTGGCCGGCCTTCCCCGTATGCGTATGTGTATTTGGAGTTGTAGTCTTAACCGGGTTCCTCATCGGACTCATCGGACTAGAATCCGGCCGCGGCCGCCCAACTGCTTCGTGCCCGTTTCCGTACACACTAGTACCCAACTTCGACCTCGTCCGGCTCCGCCGCTCCGGCATCGGGAAATCCAGCTCCTCATCCAGGAACTCGCTCAAGTCCGGGCTCGGCTCCGCCTGGTCGATCACGTCGATACTATCGATCGGCCGGTCCAGGTACAAGAGCACGCGCTCGTGGCGCGCTTTCACGCCCCGCCGGGACTGAGATTCGGGTTCGGGGGATTTCCGCGACGAGCGGATGGAGGACCGCTCTGCGGCGTGCTCACTACGACCAGTCCCGGTCGACGGCGGGCGGTCGGTCCCGCGGGAGCCGCTGGAGTGGTCGCGCGCCGGTCGACTACCATGGCTGTGACCATGTCCGTTCGCAGAGGCGCGACTCGAGCGGCCCATGAGCGAAGACGAGCGCGAAGTCACAGATCTAGGCTGCTTTGCCCGGGTATGCGCTTCCCTGGCTTCTTTCACCTCCTTAGCCGCCTGCCTCTCCGCGTCCCGCAGGTTCGCGGACGCGAGATGCTCGAAGTCGTCGATGGTGCCGTGGCTTCCTCCGCCCCGGTGCGTACCCCGGTCTTCCTCGATCTCGGCGAGGATGTTCTCGCGCATCCGGGCGCGCTTTTTGCGCAGCGCGGCGAGGAGCATTTCTTCTTGCCGCGTCACGGCCATTAGCCGTGCGTTGTGCGGCTCGTTGGATTTTCCGGCTGTTGTCGGTTCCTGGCGCACGGATTCTGGGGATTTCTTGTAGAACTCTACGCTGGTGGGTGAGAGCGGCGGCGTCGGCTGGTCTGAGGTGTGGGAGTTTTGGGAGACGCGCTGTCTTGCTTGCTGGGAAAGGGCCTGGTTTAGGCTCGACATGGACATATGGTCTCCTGAAACCGACGATGCGGCTTCGGCTGTGGAAGTGTATGGCGTATATGCGATGGTTCTTGCCTCCTGTACACTATACATAGTTTGCGTGCTATACGTAGGAGATATGATAGAACCACCAGTCCCTGACGTTGAAACGGATGCGCGCGGGTCTTGATGAGAAGGTAAGGAGCCACGAGTTGCCGTGCTTAGGGACGAGTTGCTTGAATGGAGGGTATTAGTCGAAGTCGACCGGCTGCTCTTTGCTTTCGGCGAAGCATGAGGAATGGTGAGATAATCATTAAGTTGTGCGTACGACGCTCCCTTGGGGTTAGTTGAGTGGCTGCTCACGGATAACCGTGATGTGCCTTGCTGCTGGCTCGAAGAGACACTAAGATCATCGCGGAAGCTATTGTTATCGTAAGACGGCAGAGACGAGCCAGTTCTAGAATTTGTCCCATCCTCATCGGAGTCGGAGTCTGAAAGCGACAAGACGCTATGCTGTTGCCGGTCGGAATCTAAGGTACTCATAATAGAAGGGGTGGCCTTTGATGTCCGTGTATGTCGACTTGATATACTGGCCGGGTAATCGTGTCTGGAAGTTGGGCGTATCTGCAAAGTACTCGGCGTCCCGGATCTCGTCGCGGTAGTCTTACTCGCCTGTGAGGTGTTCCGGCTATGGTTCCACCTAGCATTCTGTTCTCTACTCGTTGGATTCGGCAAGGGCGTCGCCATGTCTTCACGAGACGTATCGGGAGCTTCGGGTACATATGTGCGAGTCGGTAGGTGTTGCTGGCTCGAGTGAACCTTCTCGATGATCTCCTCGTCCTCTTCATCCTCCTCCTTCAAATCCGTAGCATACCGGAACGACATCTGTTCGTAATGATCGTATAGTTGATGCAGGGTATTGGCGTCGCTTTTCCCCTTTAAGCGAACTGGCCGGGTCGATGCCACCGAAGGTGGTTGAGATGACATCTTCACATCTTGTTTTGGAGTTATTTGGCTCCCGGGACTTGTTGGCGATGGTCGTGTCGGCGACACTATCGAGTGTGACATATGCGACATGATGGATGGTGACCTCATCACGTAGTTATTCCCTAGAACAGGACCAATTCCGTTGGGATCCGCGTTTTGGTCCTTGCGAGACCTCAATCGTAGCTTGGAGAAGTCCAATTTTGAAGGCTTCTTCTTAGTCTGCCCATTGCCATAAAGCGCCCCGTCGATATCTAGCAGCGTGCTAGCTTTCGACGGCAGTCCCTTTGCCATTGCTGAATTCGAAGTCTGCTGGGATATTGAGAGTGGTACTTTGGTCGATTCATAATGCGAATAGGTGGTAGAACTGGATTGCGGTCGACGAGAATTGGAGTCGTCTGTCGTATTATCCCGACTACGAGCACCAAGAGTGACCGCGGACCTCTTCGGCTTCAGACTTTTACCAAAGGGGCCATGCGCACCTCGTAATCGTCGCGGCAAAGCTTCCGATTCCTCCTCCCACATGTTTCTCCCGTAGGTCGTCCCAGCAAATCCGTCCTCGTCCCCATCCAGTACGCCGGACTGACTGGCACTACTTTCGGATATCGATATACTGATACCGCCGTTTGAGCTCGTTTCCCACGATCGGCCAGGATCCCTTGTCGCAGTAGGCGAGCCGAGACTCATCCCACCAGTTCCCAAAATCTTTTCAGCTTTTGAGAGCGGGTTTGAGATTGTCACGGTAGGTGGCTGCTTCGCAGAGCGCCCCGGCATGGGAAATGTGAACTTGGACTTATGACCCATTTTATCGGAAGCAATCCGCGACCTAGGTAATGAGCAATGGCAGGACTAATGTGATTCAATCCTCAATATAGCTTCGTCGTCCGTGCCCGGGGCGGCCTGAGTAGCCGAATATTCCCAGTGCGGCAGGGAGAGGATCCAAGTATGAGCCCCGAGCTATCCTCTAAACCCCCGCCTTTTGTCCCTTTTTTTTCGCGGCAATACCTCCTCCGGGAAGCAGGGTATTACAAGCTTAAGGTGCCGGGGGAGAAGCTGCGCTACGGTTGGAGTGCGGGCTCAAACTGAAACGAAGTGATCAATCTCGGGCCAATTGTCGAACAGTTGCGGTGTCGGTGGGCGATCAGGGCGTCAGCTCGGAGTAAACTATAGTCGGCATCTCAAGAGGAGCTCCTCTCTCATATCCTATGGTAAAGATATTCCAGTCGCATTCAGCATTGCTTGTCCCAGCGATGAGGCTCGACTATCTCGAGGCGGAGTCGTGATACAAAAGTCGGCAAGGCAATTGCAAACGCAGAAGGCTACGGACCAAGGTCGTATGCTTTTCAAACGTGTTCAAAAACTTGTCCCGCATGTACCCCAATTCGGTGGTGGTAAGGGTCGTGATAATTGGGCTTTTTTTCCGCCGGCTTCTGCTCCCGTATCCTTAGAATTCAAAAAGACCCTCGTCCGGTTCCCAACTTCAACTTCGCAGGCGCAACAACCCCATATGTATTATTGTAAAGAGACGAAACGTCAGTGTCCGAAAGAAGGGGGGGAGACAAGAACAAAAAGGGACTGGAACGATGGTCCCTTCACGACACGACACGGACGCTTTTTTTCTTGGATATTAAAATTGGAGAACCCAAGAGATGTACGGAATACATCTCCATACAGTAGGTAATTCGCACTTAATTGCAATTAATTGGCTGGCCCGTCCGCTCATTTGCATATGTATGCGAGCGGGTTGTATGTAAAGCAAAATATGTACAGGCGTTGACATGCATATGTATGGACCTATGTAGGTATCCTGATTTCTCCCCTACCTCCCCCCCAGAATCCCCATTAAGGCTGTATGTACATGTATTAGAGCAATTATAGCTT